GATCAAGGGCTACCAAGTTTGTTTAAATGTATGACCTTGAATCATATTCAAGGTCACAAGGAGCAAATATGTTCAAAATATTTCAACAACTTGTTCTGAATAACCAAAAGGCTCAGGATGTTGATATTTAGTCAGTAGCATATGCTGGGATCAAGGACTACTATGTTTGTTAAAGTGAATGACTTTGACTTATATTCAAGGTCACAGGGGTCAAATTTGTTTAAAATCTTTAAACAACCTCTTATGAATAACCATGGGTCCCAGGATGTTTATATTTTGCAAGTTGCATCCTGAGATGAAAGGCTATACAATGTCTTCAACATAATGACTTTGTTCAACTTTCAATCACAGGGGTGAAATGTTTAAAAAAAAAATAACAGGGTCTTTTGAATGAATTTTAATCATAAATACTGATATTTTGCCTGTAGCTTTATTTTAGATAACTTTTAAGGTTACAAGTGTGAGTTTTATACCAGGTGAGCGATGCAGGCCCATTGGGCCTCTTGCTATTATACATAATTAAGTTTTACAGTCTGTGTGAATAATTAATGTTTCTGTGTTTACAGGCATTCATCCGCCCCTTCCGAGAGCATCACATTGACCCCACTTCTATCACGAGGCATGATTTTATTGAGACCAATGGGGACAACTTTTCTGTGACCATCCCCTTTATGGCCTACTCTGCCTACAAGTTCCTCACTTACAGTCCAGAACAGATCCAGGAAGTTTACAATTTTGAGTGCTACCTCTTTCTTTTGACCATCTTTGTTAGTGTCACCAACCAGGTAAGTCAGCGTTTCCAAAATCTAAGGTAATAGTTTCCATGTATAGAAAACTATGAACATTAATAACTAAAACTCACCCGTCTTTGACAGGTACAACAGACCATTCTAAGTATGTGTGATTGGGCCATAGTCTATTTTTAGGTTCAAGCGACTGGTTAGTTGACAGTTACAAGAAATAATTGTATTTGATTGATGAACAGTTATATTTTGTCTGTCCACTGATGGTCCCATACTTAAATTATATCTTTGAACAGCGTCACTGATGGTCCCATACTTAAATTATGTCTTTGAACAGTGTCACTGATGGTCCCATACTAAAATTATATCTTTGAACAGCGTCACTGATGGTCCCATACTTAAATTATATCTTTGAACAGTGTCACTGATGGTCCCATACTTAAATTATATCTTTGAACAGTGTCACTGATGGTCCCATACTTAAATTATGTCTTTGAACAGTGTCACTGATGGTCCCATACTTAAATTATGTCTTTGAACAGTGTCACTGATGGTCCCATACTTAAATTATGTCTTTGAACAGTGTCACTGATGGTCCCATACTTAAATTATGTCTTTGAACAGTGTCACTGATGGTCCCATACTTAAATTATGTCTTTGAACAGTGTCACTGATGGTCCCATACTTAAATTATGTCTTTGAACAGTGTCACTGATGGTCCCATACTTAAATTATGTCTTTGAACAGTGTCACTGATGGTCCCATACTTAAATTATGTCTTTGAACAGTGTCACTGATGGTCCCATACTTAAATTATGTCTTTGAACAGTGTCACTGATGGTCCCATACTTAAATTATGTCTTTGAACAGTGTCACTGATGGTCCCATACTTAAATTATGTCTTTGAACAGTGTCACTGATGGTCCCATACTTAAATTATGTCTTTGAACAGTGTCACTGATGGTCCCATACTTAAATTATATCTTTGAACAGTGTCACTGATGGTCCCATACTTAAATTATGTCTTTGAACAGTGTCACTGATGGTCCCATACTTAAATTATATCTTTGAACAGCGTCACTGATGGTCCCATACTTAAATTATATCTTTGAACAGCGTCACTGATGGTCCCATACTTAAATTATATCTTTGAACAGTGTCACTGATGCTCCCATACTTAAATTACGTCTTTGAACAGTGTGACCGATGGTCCCATACTTAAATTATATCTTTGAACAGTGTCAATGATGGTCCCATACTTAAATTACGTCTTTGAACAGTGTTACCGATGGTCCCATACTTAAATTATATCTTTGAACAGTGTCACTGATGGTCCCATACTTAAATAACGTCTTTTAACAGTGTCACTGATGGTCCCATACTTAAATTACGCCTTTGAACAGTGTCACTGATGGTCCCATACTTAAATAACGTCTTTGAACAGTGTTCACTGATGGTCCCATACTTAAATTATATCTTTGCACAGTGTCACTGGTGGTCCCATACTTAAATTATATCTTTGAACAGTGTCAATGATGGACCCATACTTAAATTACGTCTTTGAACAGTGTTACCGATGGTCCCATACTTAAATTATATCTTTGAACAGTGTCACTGATGCTCCCATACTTAAATTACGTCTTTGAACAGTGTGACCGATGGTCCCATACTTAAATTATATCTTTGAACAGTGTCGCTGATGGTCCCATACTTAAATTATGTCTTCGAACAGTGTCACTGATGGTCCCATACTTAAATTATGTCCTTGAACAGTGTCACTGATGGTCCCATACTTAAATAACGTCTTTTAACAGTGTCACTGATGGTCCCATACTTAAATTACGCCTTTGAACAGTGTCACTGATGGTCCCATACTTAATTTATGTCTTTGAACAGTGTCACTGATGGTCCCATACTAAAATTATGTCTTTGAACAGTGTCACTGATGGTCCCCTACTTAAATTATATCTTTGAACAGTGTCACTGATGCTCCCATACTTAAATTACGTCTTTGAACAGTGTCACTGATGGGCCCATACTTAAATAACGTCTTTGAACAGTGTCACTGATGGTCCTATACTCAAATTATGTCTTTGAACAGTGTCACTGATGGTCCTATACTTAAATTACGTCTTTGAACAGTGTCACTGCTGGTCCCATACTTAAATTACGTCTTTGAACAGTGTCTCTGATGGTCCCATACTTAAATTATGTCTTTGAAAAGTGTCACTGATGGTCCCATTCTTAAATTATGTCTTTGAACAGTGTCACTGATGGGCCCATACTTAAATAACGTCTTTGAACAGTGTCACTGATGGTCCCATACTAAAATTATATCTTTGAACAGTGTCACTGATGGTCCCCTACTTAAATTATATCTTTGAACAGTGTCACTGATGCTCCCATACTTAAATTACGTCTTTGAACAGTGTCACTGATGGGCCCATACTTAAATTATGTCTTTGAACAGTGTCACAGATGGTCCCATACTTAAATTATGTCTTTGAACACTGTCACTGATGGTCCCATACTTAAATAACGTCTTTGAACAGTGTCACTGATGGTCCTATCCTTAAATTATGTCTTTGAACAGTGTCACTGATGGACCCATACTTAAATTATATCTTTGAACAGTGTCAATGATGGTCCCATACTTAAATTACGTCTTTGAACAGTGTCACTGATGGTCCCATACTTAAATTATGTCTTTGAACAGTGTCACTGATGGTCCCATACTTAAATTTTGTCTGTTAACAGTGTCACAAATGGTCCCATACCTATTTTGGCCTTCCACGATGGATCACACTTCTACAGGACCTCCATATTGTGTTGCCACGGAAACACCACCGCATCCACCATGTGGCCCCACATGAAACCTACTTCTGTATTACCACCGGTTGGCTTAACCTACCCCTGGAGAAGATCCGCTTCTGGAGTACTTTTGAGTATCTTATAGAAGCTGTGACAGGCTGTAAGCCCAGGTCAGACGACCTCAACTGGGCCAAGAAGAGGAGTTGATGGATGTTGTCCATTTATATATAAGGTTCATGTTAAGTTTAACATTTTACAGATTAATTTCATTTTCTGTTTCACAGTTTTACACAATCATCTGTCATGAATTTTGTCTCATTTTATTATATGTAATTATTTTCTGACCAAATTGGCATATTATTAGGATGTCAATAAAACTATTCAGGTTTTAATTTAAAAAAAGTTTTGGTGGAAGAAAACTGTTGCCTTTGATTGACAAATTTAATCAAAAACACACTTTTAATGTACATGTGGAGACCTGTATGTCGCATGCTTTGCTTCCACATCATCATTTAATCTTGAAGTTTAATCATGCTTTATATATGTAACTTCATTAATTGTTATTGTTAAAATATTACAAAGTATTTTTTCAACATAGATAGTTCTAATTTTTTTCATTTTTTTTTTTAATAAGAAATATATTCTGTATCAAGTTTAGATATCATCTAACTGTATGTATCAGAAAATAAACCAACATTGCATTGTAAGAACAACAAAGAATTTAATGTTAAAATCGCTGTAAACATCTTTAAATCTACCTTAGTGTTATTTTTCATATTTGTAAAGAAAAAATACATAGTCACATTGTTTATTTTGTGGTTTCGAGATCCCTAGATCTGAATGGTACTTGATTACTTAACTAAGAAAAAGTAAACAACTAAAATCGCCTAAAAAAAGGCTACAAACTGTATAAAATGAAAATTTCATGGGTTGGCAAGCGGACAAATTGCTTGTGACCTTGATTTTGATTACCATGTGATCTCTATTGTTTCAGTCAATCGGTTATTTCAGCATTATGTAGATTTTATAGTTTTAGTTTATGTATACCAAATCAGCCATCTTTTAAATGAAAACTATTTTGTTACTTTGTTACAACTTTTAACATGTTAAGAATTGCAAACTGATACATTTTCCAGTGCTGAACAAAAAATACCGCCTGATCACAAGGCATGTTTCAACAAGGGAAATAAACTGGTACCAAGGCACAGGGTTAAAGGAGGTCTCTTAAAAAAGGCAATTTCTATCTTGCATCTGTACTATAAAATACATAAACTAGTGGTAAAGATCAGAAATTCAAGGAAGATAAAAAGTGCTTTAAAGTGCTTTGTGCTTTTTTATGTGTTAAATAATTCATTGTTATTCTGAATGTAAAATATATCCTTACATTGTCAAAGATATAAACTTCTGATTGTAGGTAATGTGGTGTAAATGTGATAACCCCGAAAATGTATTTCATTATTGGTAGACTAATCTGCTCCCATAGGTTAACCCATTCACCCCTGAAGTCAAATTTGAACCTTACCAAATCAAAGACTAGGCAAGTCAAGTTTAAATATAGGGGTGAATGAGTTAACACTGGTAAGGGGAGGTAACTCGACTTAGCATAAACACAACTTGACTATGTTAAGAGGAACTGGTTTGTCTTCACTTCATCAGTCCTATTATTTCAGAAAGTACACCATGACTTCAAATTTGTTTTTAAAGAGCTATCTTATCATTTTAATCTTAATTTCTGAGGTATAGATGAAGCCATCTTTTGGCATATTCGGGAAAATATAAAAATTGGTATGTCTTTGTGAATTGTTAATTACCCAGGTAAATTCTGCTGCCATCATTATAGATTATTTATTAAATTTGTCTATATTGATGGATGTTTTAATTAATTCTTCTGTCATCCATGTATTGTATAATTTTGTAATTGTATATTTTTGCGTATTTTCAAATATATGGGATATACACATAAGGAAAATGGCCAAACAATTTTTATAGAGACTTGACATCACAACATTTTTTGTAACACTGTAACTACAACCATTGCTTACACATTGATATCAACTAATCTATAATTTTGATAACAGAGAAAATATAAATTTATTTGTTAGTTAATTTGAAGTAAAGAAAATCCATTTAATGAAATATTGAAGTGAAGATAGATTAAGAGAATTATCCGTCCTCTCCTAAATGATATTATAGATGACAAAATAACAATGAAAGATTATCTAAAACTGTTAATTATAATGTATAGAAATTTTACCTACAAGTTTGAGTAGGATAGTAAGTACACTGATCAATACAAACATACAAAGAGAGTGCATTTAGCAATAATTGATGTATAAAATATTTATTAGGACGATATATTGTTGATAAATTTCAATCTGCTTCATAGAATGAACAAGTTTTCTTTGATTTTATTTTCATTAGTATAACATTTTAAGCTGATATCGGTCCACCAGATATATATGTATACATTATAGCACATTGCATTTTGTTATCAGATTGGGTCACATTGTTATCTCCTGTTGACACACTTTACATTGCTGAACTTCATTCTGTCATTGTATATCAGCCAATCTATTTATGTTTTACTTTTTATACCTCAAGTAATCCTACGGACCATTTACTTACATGAACAGGAAGTAATTTTTTCATTCAAACAGCCATCACTAGTTTCACCATTCCCTTAAATGAGAAATGAAAAAGATCAGTCCATTTCTGTACCGTGTACTTCAAAGTTATACAATGTCCAAAATAACATGTGTATACTACAACATTATACTAAGTCCGTGGTGAGAAACCCTCTATCTACACTGTACCTTGTACAGGGCTTAGTGTACTATTACCTTATTGACTTTGATCAAGAATCAGAATGGACTGTACAAGTTTAATAATGTGATAAGGAAGAATACATCGAACAAGTTCTTTACATATACATATGTATATAAAATATCATATAGTAACAATAAATTTATGATACTTATTAGTTTGATGGGTTTTCCCTATTAAATCAGCTATTGATGAAGTGATGACAGTTGTTCTGACGAGAACTTTTATCATTGTATCCCTGCTATACATGTACCAGAGAATGTACTTCTCAGTTCTAACTCTTAATGTAGGACTGAGAATGGGGCATGCTGTGTTAGGTAAACCTTGAAGGTTCTAGTAGCTAGCTAAACTCTCGTCACCATAGTATTGGTAACTGGCTATACCCCTGGTGCGGTGGTACTGGTAACTGTCTATACCCCCAGTACGGAGGTACTGGTAACTGGCTATACCCCCAGTACAGAGGTACTGGTAACTGGCTATACCCCCGGTATGGTGGTACTGGTAACTGGCTATACCCCCGGTACAGTGGTACTGGTAACTGGCTATACCCCGGTACAGTGGTACTGGTAACTGGCTATACCCCCGGTATGGTGGTACTGGTAACTGGCTAAACCCCCGGTACAGTGGTACTGGTTGGTGCTAGTAACTACCTATACCCCCGGTACAGTGATACTAGTAACTACCTATACCCCCAGTACAGTGGTACTGGTAACTACCTATACCCCCAGTACAGTGGTACTAGTAACTACCTATACCCCCGGCACAGTGGTACTGGTTGGTGCTAGTAACTACCTATACCCCCGGTACAGTGGTACTAGTAACTACCTATACCCCCAGTACAGTGGTACTAGTAACTACCTATACCCCCGGCACAGTGGTACTGGTTGGTACTAGTAACTACCTATACCCCCGGCACAGTGGTACTGGTTGGAACTAGTAACTACCTATACCCCCGGTATAGTGGTACTGGTTGGTACTAGTAACTACCTATACCCCCGGCACAGTGGTACTAGTAACTACCTATACCCCCAGTACAGTGGTACTAGTTACTACCTATACCCCCGGCACAGTGGTACTGGTAACTACCTATAGCCCCGGTACCGTGGTACTGGTTGGTACTAGTAACTACCTATACCCACGGTACAGTGGTACTGGTAACTACCTATAGCCCCGGTACCGTGGTACTGGTTGGTACTAGTAACTACCTATACCCACGGTACAGTGGTACTGGTAACTACCTATAGCCCCGGTACCGTGGTACTGGTTGGTACTAGTAACTACCTATACCCCCGGTACAGTGGTACTGGTAACTACCTATAGCCCCGGTACAGTGGTACTGGTTGGTACTAGTAACTACCTATACCCCCGGCACAGTGGTACTGGTAACTACCTATACCCCCGGTACAGTGGTACTGGTTGGTACTAGTAACTACCTATACCCCCGGCACAGTGGTACTGGTAACTACCTATACCCCCGGTACAGTGGTACTGGTTGGTACTAGTAACTACCTATACCCCCGGCACAGTGGTACTGGTAACTACCTATACCCCCGGTACAGTGGTACTGGTTGGTACTAGTAACTACCTATACCCCCGGCACAGTGGTACTGGTAACTACCTATACCCCCGGTACAGTGGTACTGGTTGGTACTAGTAACTACCTATACCCCCGGCACAGTGGTACTGGTAACTACCTATACCCCCGGTACAGTGGTACTGGTTGGTACTAGTAACTACCTATACCCCCGGCACAGTGGTACTGGTAACTACCTATACCCCCGGTACAGTGGTACTGGTTGGTACTAGTAACTACCTATACCCCCGGCACAGTGGTACTGGTAACTACCTATACCCCCGGTACAGTGGTACTGGTTGGTACTAGTAACTACCTATACCCCCGGCACAGTGGTACTGGTAACTACCTATACCCCCGGTACAGTGGTACTGGTTGGTACTAGTAACTACCTATACCCCCGGCACAGTGGTACTGGTAACTACCTATACCCCCGGTACAGTGGTACTGGTTGGTACTAGTAACTACCTATACCCCCGGCACAGTGGTACTGGTAACTACCTATACCCCCGGTACAGTGGTACTGGTTGGTACTAGTAACTACCTATACCCCCGGCACAGTGGTACTGGTAACTACCTATACCCCCGGTACAGTGGTACTGGTTGGTACTAGTAACTACCTATACCCCCGGCACAGTGGTACTGGTAACTACCTATACCCCCGGTACAGTGGTACTGGTTGGTACTAGTAACTACCTATACCCACGGCACAGTGGTACTGGTTGGTACTAGTAACTACCTATACCCACGGCACAGTGGTACTGGTTGGTACTAGTAACTACCTATACCCCCGGCATATTATCTTGCTGATCAGATGTTTATGTATGGCAGTGTATGTCTGTGGTTAAGCTCATGGAGATTGCTAATATTTTGATGTATTTTGTTTTTTGGCTGGCACACTTGTTAAATGTATGCTATAATGCATGTTGTTAATATGTTAATTATTCTTGTGTGAGTAATTTGGATTATACAGAAAAAGACTTTCATTGGATCGTGTGGATATATATTAATTTATTGTGTTTTAAGTGTAAAGATGAATATAATCTTATACTATTGATTGACTGTTATTACCAATTTGCGAGAATGTCTAAATGTTTTTTTTATCAGAAGTCTTGACTTAGGAGTCAAATTTGATCTTATACCACGAAGCCAATGTTTTTACACCAGTATGTATTCCTACAATGTGGGTACAGGTTATAGATCCAATGACCTGAATCCCACATTGTGTCCTTGACAATCTTTTGATGTTGAGATGGTAACGGGTGGTGTGAAACCAAAGAACACTTACCATGAGTAGTATACCTTTGTTGTTCTGACATTCTCCAGATTGGTCAAACAGTTTATCACAGTACTGTATGGTCAGTCCGGTAACCCTGAATATACCAGAGTGGTCAATTTTACTTTACATGGTCAGTTATTCCTGGTATTACCTGTATTTTAATTACCTTATTTATATGGTAATATATACCTGAATGACCTTGTGTGAGGTCAATGCTGGAGTAACCATGACTG